ATCCATAAATATGTAGGGTTATTCTTAAATATGCAGAAGCTATTACACAACCAAAAACCCACCTAAACGGATAATAACGGTTGTTCTTCGACCCTATCCACAAACACGATATTTCTATCCACAAACACGGTATTTAAAGCCTATAAATACACCCCTAGCACCCTCATAAAGGCAGATATAACTGGAACCACGAATTTTAGAGGAGCTAGGGTGAGTGGAGCATGAATTTCAGAGGAGGGCTAGCAGATCTTGGCGAACTTCAGCATAAAGAGGAAGCTGTTCGAAGGATCTGAGGCCCGTTCCCCCTTTCCTCCGGATCAAACTTGGTTTTGATCTCGAGAAGAGTCATAATCTCGCTTGGTCGAAATTATCACTTCTGTGGTTTTTTTTCTTTGTGAAGCAAGAGTATTAATTAATTTTTCTGTCAACCGAATCTGATTAGTAACGGTCCACTGACTAACGCGTCCCCGTCACAGGCGAAGATCCCATGCAAATAGAGACTAATAAGTAGGATCTATGTGTTGTTTGACAAAGTTGTAATCTTTTATTTTTTATTGTGTAAGAAGATCTTATAAAAAGATCAACTTTTCTATTTTTTTTGAACGTGTAATCGATAAACGATTGTAACAGGTTCAATGACAATGAAAATGCCAACTTTTGAACCAAACACTCGGTTGATTAAGTAAGCTGTTGTGTTGACTACTTCTACCCAGAACTGCTTCGGTAGGCCTGATTGTATCCGAATGCTTCTGGCTCTCTCTGTTAACGTTCTGTTCATCCACTCAGCTACACTATTTTGCTGAGGCGTGCCGGGCACGGTTCTCTCCATTCTAATCCTTTGCTCATAGCAGAACTTCTTAAATTCAGTGTATTCATACTCACCGCCATTGTCGGTCCTGAGCTTCTTTATTCTCAGACCGTTCTCATTCTCGACCGTGACTTTCCATCTCCTGAAAGCCTCAAATACTTCTGACTTATGCTTTAGAAAGTAGACCCACACTTTCCGAGAGTGATCATTGATAAAAGTCATAAAGTAGTGTTTCCCACCAATGGACGCATTGGTGGTTGGTCCCCAAACATCTGAGTGAACAAGCTCTAGCTTCTCCTTCCTGAGGGTTCTGCCACTTTTCTGAAAGCTGACTCTCTTCTGCTTTCAAAGTATGCATTCTTCAAACATGTTCATCTCCACTGACTGAAGTCCTGGGAGTTTTCCCTTTGTGTGCATGATCTTCATCCCCTTTTCACTCATATGACCGAGTCTCTGGTGCCACAACTTTGAAGTCTCATTGTCTGCTACAACTAAGATCAAATAATGTGCACCTGCTGTCATATATATGGTACCAATCTTCTTGCCTCGGGCAATCGTCATTGTGCCCTTTGAGATCTTCCAATCATTTCCATGAAAGGTCATAGTATATCTTTCTCCAGCAAACTGACCTATAGATATTAAGTTCTTTCTCAGGTCGGTAATATGTCTGACATCCTTCAGCTCTCATACTAACCCGTTCAACTTAATTTTCACTACACCTTTGCCAACAATAGCACATGGTTGATCATCACCAAGGTATACATATCTAATATTTTTGGGGACATACTTATTGAAGAATTTTTTCTGAGAAGTAGCATGGAACAACGCTCCTGAATCTAACACACAAGATTCCTCCTTGCTCTCCAAAGAGCGTATCAATGCGTCATCTCCTCCTGAGGTGGAAGTGACATTCACCTTTACCTTCACTTTCTTCTCCTTCTATGCACTCTTGCACTGATTCTTGTAATGTTAGGTATTTCCATAATTCCAACACTCGATAGCCTTCGAGCTATTGCCTAGATTCCTGGATTTGGACCTCATGTCCTTTGATCTACCTCTATAGTTTGATTTGCCTCTTCCATTCCCTCTGGTTAAATTTCTACCTCTTGACTCTATATGCAATACTAAATAGGTTGTAGCTTCACCCAACTCTGCCCATCGATTCTCCTCACTAAGAACCAGATCACAAACGTCATTGAACTTCAACGTGTTGCTTCCTGACGAGCTACTCACAGCTGTGAGTGTAGTGTTCTAACTCTCTGGTAGAGAAGACAAAAGTATCAATGCATGAACTTCCTCATCAAATTCAATTTCAACTGAACTTAATTGGGTTGTGATCATGTTGAGTTCATTGACGTGTTGTGCTACTGACACGCCTTCCGTCATTCTCAGATTGAATAATCGCCTCATCAAATAAACTTTATTTGCGGATGATGGCTTCTCATATATATATATTTGAGAGTGCTGCCATAAGACCCAGCGTGGTCTTCTCCTTCGCAATATTGAATGCAACATTACGAGTTAATGTTAATATGATAACTCCGAAGGCTTGTCTGTCTAGAAGGTTCCACTCATCCTTCTTTATAGACTCCGGCTTCTTCCCCGAGAGGGGTTGATATAGATTTTTTTGATACATATAATCCTCTATCTGTATTTTCCAAAATCCAAAATATGTTCCATCAAACTTCTGTAATCTCACTTTTCCTTTATTTGCAGCCATCACTCCCACTTGAATCTGACTTCCTCTAAATCGTTTCAGACTCTTATACTAGTTGTTGGGGAAACCCGGGGGTACGCTAAACCTCTAAAATAGCAAGAAAACATAGTAGAGAAAAGTATACCAAGATTTATGAGGTTCGGCAAACTTGTCTATCCTCGGGAGCCACACAATTAATTTCTTATTAATTAACAAGAAATTACAATACAAGAGAAAATATCAAACTTGAGATCTCTCAATAAATAATAATTATCATTGTAGCCACAGTGATAATCCCCTTCTTAGATACCCCCTTTAATTCACCCTCAATTTGAGAGCTGAAAAAATCACGAGAGGAGTAGAAGAGAAAAAATCTCAGCTGAGATTTAAGTCCGCCACCAGGAGAAAAACACGAGAGGAGAGAGAGAGAGAAGAAGCAGCCCCGCGCACCATCCCCACGAGATATGGGTTTCCCTTTTATAGGAAAACCCTAGCTAAGTTGTCGACAGCCTGTGAGGAGCTCACCTGCGCTCGAGGAGCTCGCCTGAAAGTTCTCGAGCTCGCCTGACTCGCCCATGCTCGCCTGGATCTTGGCTCGACTGGAGTCGCCTGCCACAAGCTTGCCTGAAGGTCACCGTCGTTCGAGCTCGCCTACAGCACGCCCGCTCGAGCTCGCCTGCATCGAGGTTTGGATCCACACCCGATTCCAACCGATACACTAGAAGGGATTAGTTGTGGATGAGGAAAAAGGGAGAATTATGATGACCTTAATGAGAGGTTTGGGTAATTTACACTTGAGGACTAGTGTAGTCTCGAAAGCGTGGAGAATGATATGATTCCTGAACCTACATTATGCACGAGTACAAGAGATAGGTTGATTCATTACTACAAGAGTTTGTACAAGAGAGGGATTTGAGTCAAAGTAGGAGTCTATTAGAAATTATCTTTTTATTAGAAATTTTAAGTCTATTAGGAATTGATTATCTTTTTATTAGGAAACTTTGAGTCTATTAGGACGTGTTAACTATTTCAGATTGTTTATTTGAATTTGTACAATTTTCCATAAATTTGATATTCTTGAATTGGTACCTCGACTCAAAATTTATGGGTATAGCCCCTGATTCTTGGATTAGATTTAAATTTTTTGAGTAGAAGTCTTAAACTTTTGGGTTGGATTCTTCAATTTTACTTTAGATTTGTCAATTGAGGGTCGGATTCTCAGATTAAATTTTAGATTAGTGGATTTTTTGAATTAGGAGCTTCAAAATAAACTATTATGTTAAATAATAATTAATTTATAAAAAAGTAGAACTTTAATTTTGATAATCACCCTCATTTTGATTTACGAATGGCAACAACAAAACTGAATACATCTTGTAATACATTTTAATAGTTTAAATGATGTCACATAACTAAAAATAACTAGTACAAGGACATAAATATAAATAACTTGTGTTCAAGTAAATAAAAGAAAATAAGTAAATATTAAATATATTAAAAAGTTTATATCAAACATTTGCCGTTAAATATTAGAATACATTTTGCAATATTAAATATTTTATTATTTAATACATTAAAAATTAAATACTACATATATTTAATATTTACATACTTAATATATTTCATTTCTAACAATTAAATAAAAATAAAATAATATTGAAAATATCTATATACTTAAGAAATGTTTTATAAAAAAATACATATAATTCAATATTAAATATTAAAGATATTTCATTTAAAATGAATTAAATAAAAAAAGAAGGATTATAAATATTTTAGAGTTAAATATATTTAGTGTTAATATATAAATAATTTTGGAACATAGATTATTTTAAAATTATATATATTTAACTCAAAATATATTAAATATTTAAATAAGTAAAGAGAAGAAAAGAGAGAAAATCCACAGAGTGAGATCACAATCCACCAACTTTAATTTTGACTTTCTCTAGAAAATATCTCATTAAAAACTATAGAGTTGAAATGGAGTGTGGATTTTGAAATCATAGTCCTTGTAACAGCCCTACACAACCAATAACACCTTAAAATTTTAAATCCGAATCCTAATCCTAAACTAATAACATGTCAAATTAAAATCAAAATCTTAGTTCTAAACCAAGAACATATTAAATTCAAATCCGAATCCTAATCCTAAGCCAATAATACCTTAAATTTGAACCCAAATTCTATGCCTAAATGAATAACACCATAAATTAAAATCTAAGAAAAAATTCGAGTCTGCATTAACAATCGTCAACCTATAGAATTGATTTTTATTAGGAACTTGATTTCATTGTATTAGGAATTATAGTAGATGAGCTAAGTTGCAAAATTAGAACTCTTTTTTTTTTTTTTTGGTAAATGAAAACTTTTTATTCATCAACCATTGAGAAAATCTGTACACCTCAAGAATACTCAGCAAATAAGTAGCTGAGAACTCAAAAAAACTACAAAAAAAACAGTTTCACTCCTCAAATAGGAACCTGTCAAACCCTATTAGGGGGGGTTATTGAAAATGATTGTAGAGGCTTCAAACTTTATAACCTTGATCAAATGATCAGCACTCCTTATCTTCTGGGTAAACAACCTTGCATTTCTTTCTCTCCATATGCAGTAGATTGAAGCTGTTAATACCAATCTTCTAAGCTTAACCTGTAGAGATTTTCCTCTCATGCTTGAAAACCAGTTCCAAACCTGATTCCAATTGCAAGACTTCTTCTTGAAATTCATCCAATCCATGATTGAGTTCCAAATGTAGGAGGAAAAAGTGCATTCGAAGAACAGATGATCTCTCGATTCAGTGATTTGACCCGAGCATAGACAACACTGGTTTGAACTGATTATACCTCTTTTTAGGAGCCTATCTTGTGTGAGGAGCCTGTTCTGAATCGCTAGCCAGCTGATAAAAGAATGTTTGGGTACATTGAGTCCACCCCACACAGTTTTATACCATGGTACTGAGATAACAGCTGCTGACAGGTTCTTGTACAATATCGACAGAATTGGCTTTGAATTCTTGCAGCTTGACATGATGAGAGTCTTGGTATTATCAGCACCTCCTAAAACCGCCATCACCTTGTTTCTAATTCTGAATAATTGTTTCCACATCCATGAGTCTCCTGATCTAGCTTCAACCTGCCATATGTCTTTATGTTTGAGATAATTTTCATGGATCCATTTAATCCAAAGAGATTCCTTGTTAGAATGAATGATCCATATGCTTCGTAAAGCAGAAGCTGAATTCCATAATTGAGCAGAATAAATCCCCAGTCCACCTTGTTTCATTCCTAAGCATACCTTATCCCAAGCTACAAGAGGCACTTTAGAAGAATGTTCATCTTTACCCCATAGGAATATCCTACATAATTCATCAAAATTAGAACTCTTAAGGCTATATATGTAGTCGATTATGCTAGGGCTACAAAACATGATGTTTTGTTATGGTTTCTTGGAGAAGAATTTCTGAATAAAACTAATCTCTTGTTTTAGATTAATTTTAGGTAATCCAGAATTCTTTTTGAATCATTTTGGGCTGAGAATCGATGCTTAGACTATTCTTTAGAGGTTTTTCGATTAGATTTTGATTTAGCTGTTGGATCATTATTTTTCTTAGGAAAGAATCTTATCACATTCTCCATATGTTTTATCAGAACATAGACTGTTTTTATAATGTTTATATTCTTGCAAAAAAATTTACACCCAATTTATATGTATATCGGTCATAACGGATGGTGAAATCCAACAAGGATATAGTGCATAGTCATTGGTGTGCCCTTGAAATTAGTCCCAACTAAAGTCTGTCGATCAAGGGAGAACGTGGGTAGATAGAGTGCCCCCAAAAATAGAAGTCACGAGTTAATGTATGGTTATGCTCCAAGAAGGAAGTTAAGTGGTCATTATGAGATTGGAGACTATTATATATTGGATGACCGCAAGTTAGAGCAGGCTCACATAATCAAAATCAAATTTTTAGGTAGTATTTGGGTACCATGTTGTTTCCCTTGATCAAAATATCTTTTATGTGTTTTAAGTTTGGTGTTTTGGTTTTGGGTTTGAGGGAGTGTTAATACAATATCTAACATATATATTACATATAATTAATATAAATTATTACCAACACATTTATTATATCATAGTATATTATATTATACCTAATCTAATATATTAGTAATATTTAGTAAATAAAATAAAATATATTAATAATTAAAACATCTTATACAACAATAATATAATAACATATAAAATATTAATATTTAATGAGTTGATAACGTATCATATATTATTAATGTTGTATTATAATAACTAATTTATTGATAATAAATAATATATAACAATTATATAATAACATACTATAAAATAAAAAACTATTATATTATAAAATTATTATAATATTATTAAAGATTTAATAAACAATAATATAACATGTAAAAATGTAATATAATAGTAACATATTTAATAATAAAATAGTAATATAATATTTATATATTAATAACAATATATTATACAAATTATTATTCAAAAATGTAATATTATATAGTATTGTAAAAATAATATATTCATTTATAAAATAATACAGAGTTTTTATTAATAAATTATTAATATATTATTAAAGGATTAGTAATACCCGTCTTACTATATTAAAAACTATAAAATATAATTTAAATTTTGCAAGATTAGTAATATAATTATATAATAAAAATGTAATATATGATATATATTAAAATAATTTCATTAATAATAAAAATATATTGGAGATAAATTTTTACTATAATAATAATATGTATTCATAATTTGATAATATTATATATAATAAATTATTACTATATTATTAAAGTCTAATATATTAAAACATAATATGTTATTAATGTTTTAAAGTAATTAAATAGTATATTAATTTATTAATTATATACTGGTACAAATATCATATAATATAATATTATTAATAAAGTTATATTTTATTAATATTAGTATAATATTATATTAAAATAATAGTATTTTAATAATAATATATATTATACAACAATAACAAATTGATATACAAAAACAGGCAAATATATTATTACTTGAAGATATTATGTATTAATTATAAATATAATATAATATATTTAAGTATTATATAATATTATAGCACATTGCACTATAATATATTGAATTATAGTTACTAATAATAATATAATGATGTTAAATAAATATTACAAAATTTAATTATAATATATTCTATTATAATTATATCTAATTATTAATAATATTTTTAATACTAATGTTATAAAGGGTCAAACTAGTGTTGACCAAAAACTTTTTTGAGCATATATGACGGTAGACCAGAGGGGTGTAAAATGGACACACAACCATCTTGCAACAATCTTTTATTTTTCCTATGTACATTACACATGTGGTAACTTATATGGAAATTTTCTTTCCGCATCCCCTCCTCCCCCCACCTTTATATGTAAGCAAAGGGGAAGTGATGTGATTTTAGTGGAAATTTTACAAAATGGGTGTTGAACGAAAGTGTGTCCAACTTATTGATTTCTAGTGGCAAGTTAATTTTTGAAACCCTTACAAAGAGGTTGTAGAAACAATGTATTTTTAAATCCCTTCGTAGACTATTTATGAATGAAACATTTGGACGGTCTAACTCCAGGTCAGCTTACTCTCAATTTGGTAGAATGAACTGCATAGGAATGACTACAAGATACAAGTTCAACAATATAGTTGTCGACAGAACATAATGCCTATGACGGTCTAACTCAAGGCACAACACCGAGATGGTCCTCAAATTGTTGTTCTTAAACATGGAGTTTGGAGAGTCAAAGGCATCATACAGGTTAATTCCTGGCACATTTCTTTTGATCTTTAAATCTTTAAATCTTTAAATCTTTTGGTTTATGTTTTGCCGTTTTCGCATCAGGACTGGTTCTCTAATGATTCTAATCTATATTACATTGTTGTTTCTTAAATATAGTAATAGATATTCTTGGAATTAGTTTTCTCTCTCATTCATGAAGGATTCCTAATTTTTAAGATTAGATTGGTCCATACTACGTTACCACCACGTGACTATTGCAAATGACATCTCATTTTTCCTTTGGTTCTTGCTTCATTGATCATCAATTGGTGGTTTGTGTAGATATTGGAAGCTCATAGTAAAGTTGAGGAGAAAACTAAGATATATGTTTATCAATTGGTGGTTTGTGTAGATATTGGAAGCTCATAGTAAAGTTGAGGAGAAAACTAAGATATATGTTCCTTATAATATTCTTCCCTTGGATCCATAAGATATATGTTCCTTATAATATTCTTCCCTTGGATCCAGATAGTGCAAATCAGGCTATAATGCGTTATGCTGAGGTTCTGCCTCTCTCTCACCTTGATGATTATGATATACTTGTTATAGTTTTGGTGGAAAGGATGCTAAATACTTTTGCTATCTCTATCCATGGCAGATTCAAGCTGTTGTTCTTGCTCTTCGAAACACAAGGTGCCTTCCCTGGCCTAAAAACCAACTAGCTGAAAATTTAGTCTAGTCTGCAAATTTCTTCGAGGAGCTTGTTCGAGGAATGTGTGTGGGTACAACTAGTCACATTCATTATTTTCTATTTAGTGCTTGTAATTGAAGTGCTATTTCATCCTTTTGAAATTTGCAAAAAGATAATGTGGCAAACCAAAGGGAGCATCTGATTTTGTTACTGGCAAATGTTCATATACAGATATCTCTTTTCTGTCAACTTTACTTAAAATCCTACTCTTGAAACACTATTTTACTATGTATGTAAATATATAACAGCAGTGGTGATTGACAATAAAATGATGATATTAATCTACAGATGAAGTGAGAATGTGGGTGTTTGAAGAAGTCCTGCCTAGTGGTCAAAAGCTCACAGACACCATTAATCGAACTAATGTAAGTCGGTCTCGTATTTGTCATTTTCTACATCTATCTTTGCATTTTGGTTGTTTGAACAAAAACTACGATGGATACACTTATATTCGTTCTTCAATGTGACTGTAGTTTATTTTAAATTTTTAACTAAAGTAGTAAAAAGGTATTCTTTGCAAAAGTTACTGGCAATCAAATTTATTAAAGTCATTTAGGTAATAAATTGGTTATTTTTGTTAATTATGATTGCAAAAAGGCTCTAGCTAACATGAAATAGACAAGTGTAGTTGTCCTATTTAATTAGAGATGTCCCACTTTTAAATTTGATAGCCAGGTTATATTTACTGATTATTGACTACATATGCCTGCCAGCAATTTACAAAGAACCGAATAAAGATTACTTTATAACATACAGCAACCTGAGAGTTACATGCAGAGAAATTTTCCTCCGAAGCTAGAAACACAAAACAATCTTGCATGCAGTTGATATCTTTAATACAGTTATATTCTTGTAAACACACTCACTAACCTTTTACTTCCTTAACCCATGTTTTTACACAGTTTTATCCAAGTTCATTATTTTTTATTAACATAAGATCAGCATAAAAGAAAGATGTGAAGTGTAGGATTTATAGTATATCTCTAATTTTTATTTGTTCGATCAAGATGATTGAAATTGTTTGAGAATGGTCATTTGTGTTTCATGGTAATTTTTCCATGCATATGCACTAGTACAAAAGAGGTCAGCCCCAACGGTTCAAACCGTTGGGGCAGATAGTGACCCCAACGGTTTGAACCGTTGGGGCAAAAAAATAACCCGTTGGGACAATTTACGTTGGATTTCATCAAAAAGTAGGATTTCATTTTTTGTAGTGATGTTAAGAAGCTAATATTCCTGATCATTATTTACTGTATCATTTTTTGTTGTGTATTTCATGGCATGGACTAATTGATGTTGAATTTTGTATAATGTAGGATCAAGGAGGAAGAAACATGATGCTTTAACAACTTGGAGGAGTAAATATAATTGGATTCTATAAATTATGCAAAGTTCATCAAGTTATGTAAACAATTGTATTCTTTATAATTTATATAAAAAATTTATGTATCTTTCTAGTATTTTGGTGAATGTATTATTTGAATATAATTATATTTGACATTGAAATATAGTTAGATCAATTGTGTCAGATATGAATATGATTTGGTGTGGTGCAATATTGTGTACATGTGATATTATATAGCGTGCAACGTAGATTAAAAAAAAACTGTAGCAGAGCAACCTAGACGGAATTCCGTTTAGGTTTCTTCAACCTAGATGGAATTCCGTATAGGATGCTATTGTTGCTACAGTAACAACCTAGACAGAATGCCGTTTAGATTGAAGCAACCTAGACGGAATTTTGTC